CGAAGGTCGTCGGAGCAGCTCTGCAACCTCGTACCTGGCACCTGAATTTATTCAAAGAGACAACCTGAATGTTTTACTCAACGCACGCGTAGCTCGGGTTATCCCAAACGCCTCAAACAGCTCCTTATCGTTCCACACTGTAGAATTCGCTCAGAATCTCGAGGGCATGTCTATTCGCTGAAATTTCTGGAGTTTCTCACTGAATCATACATCAGACCCCCTTCTCCAAGTACATGCATCGAAAGAAATCATTCTCTCCGCTGGAGTCATTGGGTCCCCACAAATTCTTATGAACTCAGGGATCGGTAATTCCACCACTCTTTCGCTCCTGGGCATACATCCCCTTGTCAACCTTCCTAGCGTTGGGCAGAATCTCACTGACCAACCGGGTCTTACGAATTCTTTTCAGGTCAACTCGACGCGAACATTGGATAATATTCAACAAAATGCTACGTTACTCAATGAGGTGTATACGGAGTTCAACAGAACTGGGACAGGTCCGCTTGTGGATATTGGTAACAACCAGATATCGTTCTTTAGGGTGAAATGAAAGCGTGACAGCAATGTTTGGCGATCCTTCGTCGGGGAAGGATTCTCCTCACTTGGAGATGTTTCCTGGTGTCAGTAACTTCCAAGTGTAAAATGTGGCAACCCCTCACCTTGACGTTCTTAGAATGGTTTACTATTTGGGACCCCGCCCACAGGCAATTTCCTTTCAATGTCATTGGCACTGGTTAGCCCTGCGTCTCGTAGGCAATTCTTTCTTTTCACTGTTGTCCCACTCACTTTATTTCATGTCGGACCTGGTAGGTGGTTCGGTTACTATAAACAGTACCGATCCCTTTGCATCCCCTCTCATCGATCCCGGTTATTACACCTCTCCCTTTGACATTGCCGCTATGAGACAGGGTATTCAGATTATGTTCCAATATCTCACAGCCCCATCCTGGAGCGGCTATGTCCTTTCTCAATTTGGATCTTTCGCTAACATTAGTCCGACTACAGACGACAGCACACTAGATGCCTATATACGCAACAATTCTGGCAGCACTGATCATCTTGTGGGTACTGCAGCCATGAGTGCCAAGGGAGCAAATTATGGCGTTGTTGATCCAGATCTGACGGTGAAGGGAGTGGAAGGGCTGAGAGTGGTGGATGCGTCTGTGTTTGTGAGTTATTATTTCTCTGTTGCTGAACCGTCGCTGAGAAATGATGAAGCCTTTCGTTACTAGCGCGCATACGCAAGCACCTACTTATGTCTTTGCGGAACGGGCGGCAGCCCTTCATAAAGACTATATGGATGTCGTGATTGGGATATGTCTATTAAATATGATTGCAGTAAAGCTACTCTGTGTACTATATGCCTTAATCAAAACTACTATCTCCTGCACGCATACAAAATGAAATCGAAACCATGAGATTCGCGATTCGCATTCACGGTAACGTCCAAAGCAGCACCTGGTCTTCCTCCTCCTTCTCTTCCTTCTCCCCTCTCTCCTCTGCAAGTCCAAGTTCTATAAGCTTCTCCTTCTGCACAACCACCCTCCCATTAGGTAACCCCGAATGCACGAAACCCAACTTTTCCCAAAGACGATTGGAAGCAACGTTGGAAACGTACGTCCCTGCGCGGACTTCGGTGCATCCGATGTGAGGTATACCCCATTGATAGAAGAGAGTGGAAATCGCGCTGGAGCCGATGCCGAGGTTATGGTAGGAGGGTTTGAGCATGGCTAGGGTAATGTATGAAAGGTATTAAGTATGGATGGAGTGGTGGATGGTAGTAAAGCTCACCTCCGATCGACCAAACTCGTTCCTTATCCCGCCAATCCTCCCAGTGATCCTTAACTGGTGTCATCCGCTCCGACCACCAGTGTCCGTGACGGAGGTCGACTTCTCCAACATAGATATCTCTCAATGAGTCGGTCTGGGATTCCCCGGCCATATTCGATCCTGACTCTGAGTCGATAATGACTTTTCGAATAACTTTAAGCGGGCTTCCTTTCGCCGGACGCCATTTCCCCTCCCCTCCTCCTTCTTCGGCGAACGCAGCAAATATCTCTTCCGTAAGCTTCATCTCATTATGTATCCATTCCTCTGCTAGCTCCGAGGGGAATGGGAAGGGGTGGTTGTCCATCCAGTATACGACTTTTGGGTCGTTCTAGTAAGACGTTACCGTAAGTTACGAGTAAGTATGGAAGTCAGTAGGTTCCCAAAGAGGTCTATGTATAATGTAAGTATAAGTAGGCCCACCATCATCCTTGTTAGTTCACCCACATCCCCCTTCAGGCCCTCCCTAACCGGTGTCAACCTGAACTTTGGGCCCAAGGGTGCTGGAAGAGGGAGGTATGGCTCGTTAGTCATTTGATCGAACAGGATTGGAGTATGTGCAGATATCGAAGCTCGGAAGGAGGGGTTTGGGATAGTGAATATGCCTTCGACGAGGAGGCTGAATGGATACTCTACTGTTGGAATGGATCCGGACTCGGAGGTCATTGTTAATATTGTTAGTGATTTCCTGGAGCGAAACTTTCTGCCCAATAAATCATGCCAAATAAATCGTGGACGTACGTTGACTCGAAATGACTCAACGCAAGATTTTTGCGGCCTGATAAGTAAGGTAGATCAGAGTGATTGTAGATACTGTATAGAGAACGAGATAATGTTCAGAATCTCCGCCGAGTTCTGATTGGGCCTTCGCAATCGCCACATATCAAAGTTATCAAAGTAGCGCGCGCTTATAGATATCTGACGAGGTAAGTCGGAGGTAGGTAACTTAACTTCAAGTCGAAATGGATTCGGTTCAACATGGCCACGGCAGTGTTCCTTTCATTCTTCACTGGAGAATGAAAGGAAGGCCCTCCGAGTCCATGCCAGAAAAAAAATCGACTCAAGAGTCGAAATGGGTCCAAGCGGCGTGTAGTTCAGATTGCGATCATGGAAACATATTTAAATATTAAAGCTACAGTGATTCTAGAATGAACATTGCACAAAAAATGCAGTCCCAACATAACTCTGCTCAGCTGCTTCGAATCCACCACTAATACCACCTGACCAATGCAAATAGACCCATTTCCTTGCCATTTCCTCTGCCAGTAAAAAAATATCCGCCATAGCAGTTGCTTCAAATACCCCGCCATACTCCGCTCCTAGGTCAATCAAGCCTTGTGGATCAATACCCACTTGTGGTGGGAATGCTGTATTGATATTTCTAGACTCGAACCAGCCGGCTGCGTCGGCCCGGTGACGTTCGATGAAAAACGATCGAAGTTCGGGCTGGAACAGCCGACTGGTAAGATAGGGCTCATGGACGATGTGCGCACATCACGTGCCCAAGAGTGACAAATGCGTTACTTTCAGTAAAATCTTAATGACACTGATTTTGGCTCAAAATTGGAAATTTTGCTTGCATAGATTTGTGTAAAATACAATTTAGAATAATCGTATGCAAGCCGATTTTTCATCGATCCAGTTTCTCCGCGGCATTAGCCGTATAGCACCCAAAAACACTATTTTCTCGACTTGACGCGCCTTGTACCGCGTCAAAATGCCTAAAAAGCGCAAAGGAAGGATAGAGAACTTTAATCAGGGTGGAAAAAAGTGGGCTATCGGAACCACGGCGCGTACTGCTGCACGTAAGCTGGGCTATAACTGGGCTGAGGAAAAGGGGAAAGATTTGAATGAAGTACGTGTTAATCTTATTGACGCGACTTCGTGACTGAATTGAAACCTAGAATGACAGTCCTGAGAGTCCTTCTCGCTCAGGACCCAATTCTGACGTGTCTCCAGTGAGAAACACACCTAGACGCGCCCAATCATACATCTTTGGAAATTCTTCGGTTCCTAACACTCCCTCTCGCCGAAAATCACCCGTATTCCGTGCTCTGAGCCCTGTATTCAGTGCCATTCTTTCACCCTTTCGTTCCCCACGCCCGGGTTCTCCATCGAAATCTGTCAATAATCACTCTCATGCCAACTTTTCAATGGATTCGCGTGAACCTTTCTGGCACTTTTGGCACGGTCGGCTTTTTTCACACATTGACTTATGAACTTCGACAAATTTTCTGAGCATCGATTATTCAAACTCATGCGTCCAAAATTCTGAAGAGACGGTTTTGTGTAGAATTTTACGGCTATTCAAAGGTATACCTTTATTAAGTGTAATTATTTGAAGCCATTGCTCGAAATCAGATTTACATATCATCCGCATGGGCGCTTAGTACTTCTAAGCACCCCGCTCAAGCGCTCAAGTGCTGCGTCATCTTGGTGACATGTCATCGGTTCAAAGTAATTAGCCTCTAGCAAACTCATTTCTTAACATATTCAGATAAAAACAAATACTTATTCTTCAGCAAAAAAATCTTCACAAAAGTGTCTCCTCAGAATTGTGGACGCATGGGTTTGAAAAATTGATTCTCAGAAAATTTGTCGAAGTCAATAAGTCGGCGTGTGAAAAAAGCCGACTAAGCCAAAACTGCCAGATTAAAAACCAGTCGCCGCGTTTGCGGCACTTTATCATCAAACATCGCTGCATCCACTACGGCGACTGGCTCGAGTCTATGATATTTCACACTTGAACATTGCTCGTTCCGCACTGAGACTTGGTTCTGAGGATAACCGCTGGCAAACTTGGTACCTTCAGCTGCAATTCTGTCAAACCAAATGAGGGAGTAGGGACCGAGTTTCCTGTTGCCCTAGTACCAGCTCAAGACAGCGTCCTTGAAAGACACATCTTCCCAATTCTAATCATCAATGACAGCCTGTAAGTAGGCTGTTTGAGTAATTACTATCCATATAAGTATGTCATTGTGTGAAGGAATGAAAGTCTCATCTTTCTAATCCAAGCATGGCTTCAAGTTGCAATATAATGCCGGTAGAACCATTGATTAGTGAAGCAACAGAGAGAACTGTTCGGCGTACCGGAACTGCCAACTCCAAGTTTTCTGAGCATCCCTACAATGGAGGTAATTCCTTGAAAATTAAATCTGCTTTTGAGCAAGGAGGCATCAGTGGTCTGATGGTTATGATCCGGTCTTCCCAAAGTTTGAATGGCCGGGAAAGGGGTTCGACTCCCCTCTGATGCATTTTTTACCCCCTTTTTTCTTCCTCTATCTATACTTACTGGTTATTTTAACTCGAACACCTAGTTATGTCAACGAGAATGTCAAACCAACGTATTACTAGCTTCAACAAGGTGTCTTCCCCAGTTACGCCTTTAATTCTACATTAACCTGGCACATGAATCAGAGCAAGATCAGAAGTCATTCACAATGGTTCAACATATTTGGATGGTCTGATTCAGTGGGAAATATGTCGACACTAAGGCGGACCTTCATATCAACTTGAAGTGCATCTGCCAAGCTCTTGCTTTTAATTCAAGGATCCGAGCCACCAAGGGATCACATCCATTTTTTCACAACAAAGATGCGTACGAAGGGGTGCAAGCGTACTATTTGCATCCCGATTCCATCCGGCGCATCAGCTCTTGGTCCCAAGCCGGTAATAAACCTAACCTAACCTAA